CCCCCCCCCCCCCCCCCCCCTATCGGCCCCAGCGTGGATGAAATATGGGCTGCGTGTAAAGCTATCTGTCTACAAACCGATATGCTGTTTCACAGCTGCGGACACGCACGTCTGAGTGGAAAGAATAAAATAATTCTGTGATGTGTTATTCGGAGTGTTTTACACTAATACAACAAACGCCGATTCACTACTACAGCACTGATGGCCTGAAAATGATCCTCAGCAATGGCTCAAAAGTTGATCTAATCCTGTCATTATACACTCTTTGAATAAGGGTCCCAAGCAGGTTCTTCCTGAAGGGCTGAAGTTCTACCGGGAACCATTTAAGAGAGTTTTTCAAGGGTTCTTTGTGAGACTATGGGTTTCATTAAGAACCCTTTTTGGAAGAAAGATTTCTTCAAGGATTGTTAAAAGCATGGGTGTTAAAGGGGAAAGCCCACAACAGAACCACGCACCCCCAAAACAAACTGTGAATGTGAACCATGATTGTTGCCCCGGCCCGTTGTGGTTCTAGATGAAACCCTTGGACCATGAAAGGGTTCTAGGTAGAACCCCTGGATGGATCTTGTTAGTATCCTTAAGGGGGAAATGATAGATTCTGGGTGTAACATTTAACAGATTTATTTAGGTATAACCCTCTATGTTAGGTTCTAGGTAGAATCCTCTGGAAGGGTTCTAGGTGGAACCTTAATAAAAGGTTCTATTAGGAACAACCTTGGGATTGAACACTTCCCACGGCATTCGATCACAACATTCTCCGCTTGGAAGGCGAGTTTGTCATCTCCTGACATACAACCCTGTGTCTCTATCTATTTAGGTGTCTCACACACACACACACACGCACACACACACACAAGGTCTCAGCTTCAGCACGTTTCATGGCGGAGTCTGGAGCTCAAACATGGTAAGGAAGGACGTCCACATTTAGGCATGACATCATATCCAGTAGGCCTGCTGCTCCCAGAGCTCACACCTCGTCAGTGGAGACCGACCAGGCTGTTTATCCTCACGGCCTAGTGCCAGACACAGAAACCCAACGGCTGCTCTCCTTTTCTTCATATTAACCATCATTGCATCTGCTTCCAGATGCAATGAGCAAGAGCCGTTAGCAAGCGAGGCGCCCTAGTGTTACATGTTGAAAACAAGAGTGGTTTCCAGTCCCACTGTGTGTTAGGAGATCCCTCTCTCCTGACCCTTGCTGATTCTCTCAGCTCTGCTATCTGGGAAACGTACACCAGCGCAGTGGAGGGGGCAGTCTGTGGTTTCGCTTGATGACTGGCTTACGTCCCAGATGTTCTGCTAACCTCTATCACCAGTACTATCTCTTTATCAGATCTAGAACTAATCTTGTATTTGAGCTTTTAAATAAACCAAATGTGGGTGAGTGTCCTTCTCGACCTGAAAAGTAAGTAAGCTCTAAGCGATCTAATTGGTCACGTGTGCTTTCAGAAAATGACTCTACTTCTCTCTTGATTTATTACCTCAGTAAGTAGATTATAGTTCACTGGTTGCAAAAAAGCCAAAATGGCAACGGCCGTAATCCAAGTTGGCCAAAATCGAGCCTTCATAACAGCAGACCACAAACCAATGAGTGACGTCACGATGACTACGTCCACTTCTCATATACGGTCTGTGGACTTGGCAAGTGCAAAAAAATAAAAAATAGAATAGAATTCATGTGTTCTAGGATTTCTTTTTGCCTGTTGAATACGAACAACTACAAAAACAGTGGAGGAAATACATTTTTTAAGAAGAAATACCTCTTTGAGTCATCGTTGAGTGACCACATTCTTCTGCTAATCTCCGGGCCTGCGTTCAACACTGAAGTATAATATACACATGGTGTACATTCTTTTCTATCTACCCACTGCGAAAAAACAAGTCCTGTTAACAGACAGGACGATGTGGACAGGTTGGTGACATCCAGGGAGGTGATCATTACAATAGCAAACAGACGAGACAATGACGAACAGGATGCACGATAAGCATGACCCAAGAGTGCAGATGGAGACTTATCCGCTTTAGCTAATTTACGAAGCAAATAACAGCACGTGGAATGAAACAGCACCACCAGGCAAAGAGCGAGTGTCTACCAAACCCTCACTATGCACACCGGGTTGTTCTCTCTGCATCTCTGCAGAGATCAGGCCCAAAGGAAAACACAACATTTACTATCCAGAGTTGACCCGGACTAGTTTCACAAACACACTAGTCAAACAAAGCAGAACTTCCTTTATTAAAACCAAATACTATAAGAAAGTAAGTGAAGCCAAATCATTAGCATCAAGCAAGAAGAGTAGAAAAGACTATTACATGTACACACATACAGCAGAATACAACAATTCTCACACACAGTGAAAACCTGTTTACTAGAGTCAGTGCCAGGGAGTGTGCAATAACATGTATAGCCGTGTAATAACAGTTACTCAGACAGACTGATGACTGTGGTTTTGTTTGCTTTCTGTCTGACCTAGTTGTCTCGGCTGCCAGCCCCGGGGCATCGAATAACCCAATTTTTCTTTTCACCCAAACGTCTCAGCGTCTCGCTGGCCCACCTCAAAATTGGGCAATCTGACAGGAGACAAAAGAGAGTGTGCGTGTGTGTCTGTGCACGTGCGTGTTCTATATGTGCAAGTTACAACAATCTCTAAAATGGCATTGACACCATGAGAAACCAGAATAATGATATTTTCTGGGTGTGTTAGCTGCTGCATGAAACTTTAAGTGGCACACGGGTGCATACATGTTCCGCAGACTGTGCACACTTTTGAGAGAGCTGGGGCTGCAAACTGAACCCTGCTGCGTTCAAGATACTGTAAAAAACCAACAACAACAACAACAACAACATGCAAACAGAGCCAATTTCCTCCTCCTCTCTCAACAAAGGAGACAGGAAAAAAGATGTCTGGTTCCACGATTGCCAAAAGCAAAGAAAGGGGTGGGTTACCTATGTAATGCACAACACATGCCTGGCCCTTCTTTGGAAATGTTCTTCCTGTTGAGAAGAGAGAGAGAGAAGAAGTGTTATTGTGTGTATCTGTACACCTCAGAAGTTTATCCTGTAGATTAGCAATGGCTCTGGTAAGTCTGGTGAGGAGCAGAATACCATAGGAATGTGCACGCAGACATGTTGAAGTCAGATATGCATGTTAGTCTCATCCACATGTTTGAAACTTTAGCCTGCAGGTTTCTTTTTCCAGGGCAAGCGGCTATAAAATCCCTCTGAGTGAGATATTAGTGCGTTTGACAGAGAGAAATAAAGCCGTGAGGACTCTTGCAGGTCTCCTGGTATGACCGCATACATATAATAAAGCAAATTGTGTTGTAAATTATGTTAATATTTGACAAGACTTGAACGACATTCCGGGGAACTACCGAGCCCCTACACCACGACCACCACCCCCGCATCAAAGCCCACACAAGCGGATAGATCAACTTACCATCACCGGGGGATATTGTCTCGACTTCCACGCCCATGGTGGTGCTACAGTACTTCAATAATCAGCTCTGAAACATACAGACTACAATGCGTGATCGGTGGAAACCATGTATTCATGCATTCACCGATCACTACCGACTCACAGCTGCAGCCAGCCGTCGGACAGCCAAGATGTTTTCTAGTTTGTGGCACAAGACAGCGTCGAGATCTTCAACTCACGCGACGCACGTCGTCTTCAGCCTTTGCGTCAAAACGCTTGTTGTGTATATTTCAACTACATATCCCATAATGCACACCGACAGTGTGAGTTAGTTTTGCTTCCGGGGTCAGCTAGAAATGGATATTTCAGACACATGTCAACCGGTAGAAACGTGATTTAAAACACGGGGGGAACTTGCTTTTAGTTCGTCAGACGGATTCCACATGAGGCGGTTGTGGTTTTCTAAGGTTTGTGTACATATTTACACCAATTATTAGCTACAACGTACGTTTAATAAGTTAATGCTAAAGGTAAACATTAGCATAACTAGCTAACTAAATAACTTTGAAAATGTGTATAACCTCATACCAATGTAATGTAACCTCACCTGTGTAAACTGTATTATTCTCTATAGCCTCATTATCTGATTTAGTGACATACTCCAGTTGTGAAATTGTCAATGGTGAATTATATTTTGCTCACGCACACGTCTTTTTAACAATATATATTGTCTTTGGTTTATTCTGCATGTGATGAGGAACACATTCTCTATTTTAATGAGCTAACTTAGTTGCCCCAAAGGGATGAATGGCCCTGACAGGATCGGTGTGCTGTTGAGGTCAGTCAGGGGTAAGCAGCTATAAGTGTTCGTCACCAGAGGGGATTAAGGCATGTACTTGGAAGGAGACACGAGAGGCTTTTGCTATTCTTAATCTGCATAGGTATAAGGCATAGGCAACAATAGCTGCTCTGGTGCAGGACCCACTCAGACCGGATAGGTCTCGGTCTTCAATGTGAACCCTCTGAGTCACATTTTATTTGTATTTTCTCTTTGAACAAAGCGTCCTCACACCTGCCCGGATGGATCTTGGTAAAGCAAAGCTGATTCGGACGGGTCTCAACGCTCTGCACCGAGCCATCCACCCTGTGCACGGGATAGCGTGGACAGACGGCAAGCAGGTCTGCCTGACTTCTCTCTTCTTCATCAACGGCGAGGTGAATTTCGGGGACACCAACGTCATCGGGCAGTTTGAGCACGTCCTCGGGCTCTTCTGGGGCCCGCTGTGCTGCTCGGACTCTCCCGCTCTGCTGGCTGTCCAGCACAAGAAGCATGTTACCGTGTGGCAACTGCAGCTCAGTGCGCTGGAGCAGAACAAGCTGCTGTGCACTCAGACCTGCGAGATGAGTGAGCCGTTCCCGTTGCTGTCCCAAGGCTGCGTGTGGCATCCTAAACTGGACATCCTGGTTGTGCTGACCAAGAAGGACACGTCTTTGCTGTTTTCTGTGAGAGTGGACAACAGGAGGATCAAAGCGGACATCAAAGGTAGTGGACTCATCCACTGTGCGTGCTGGACTAAGGATGGCACACGCCTGGTGGTGGCTATAGGAAGTTCCCTGCACTCTTACATCTGGAATGACATCCAGAAGAGTCTGTTGGCCTGCTCCTTCTGCCCCATCTTTGACGTGGGGGGCTACATCTGTGCCATCGAGGCCACGGGGGATGTTCAAGTCACGGTGGCTACAGAGCTGCCTCTGGACAAAATCTGCGGGTTAAATGCCGGCATAGCCTTCGACATGTCGTCAGAGGCCGAGTCCCCGCAAGGCCACGGCACACATGTGGTCATGTCGGAAGAAGACAATAATGTGGAATCGAGAAGGAGATCTTTTGAGTCGGAGAGGTCCTTCTTCCCCAGCTCAGGCCCTCTGGACCTCACCCACCTCCTGGCGAGGCACCGCCGCTCCGACCCCAGCCCCCTTCTTCACCTGCGTCACAGAGACACCATGACAGGCTCGGGCCAGGACTCCTCGCACCTCATCATGGTCACCTACGAGCGCAAAGTCACCACCAGCCGCAAAGTCAGCATCCCCGGGATTTTGGTTCCGGACATCGTGGCTTTTGACCCGCGCGGCTCCACGGTCGCAGTGGCCTCCAACACCTGCAACATGGTGCTGGTGTACTGCATCACGGCCTCTGCCATGCCGAACATTCAGCAGATCTCTCTGCAGACAAACGAGAGGCCCAAAGGAGTCTGCTTCCTCAACGACAAGATGCTGCTGCTGATGGTGGGCCGGCAGAAGTCCAATGACCCCGTCTTCCTCCCGTCTTCTAACACGGACAAATACATTCTTCGTCTCGTAGCCAAAGAGCTGATGCTCGATGGAGAGATTCCAATCACACCACCCCCCTCTGCTCACCGTGAGCCCACTTCTAATTTCTGCGCAAGGATTAGGAGGCACTCTGAGCACCTACCTAAGGACGACAGGGAGCACCCAGGGATTAAGGACTTGGTGTTACCAGGTGGGGGAGTTGTTCGCTCTGCGGGTAACAGGCGCAGGCTGGTGGAGGAGGTGGGGAGCGGCGAGCCCAGCCCCGTCACCAGCTCTGTGTTCTTCTCCGACCGAGCGTCAGACAGAGACAGAGCCCTGTCCAGCTCTTCCTCCATCACGGTGGAGAACTTCGACATGGACCACGTCAACCGTATGACCAGCCTGGCGGTGGCCGGCCAGGCCGGCAAAGACTCCGGCCGGGCCGGCTCTCCTCGCTACGAGCCGCCGGACAAGCTCCACACGGACCCGACACTGCCCTTTCCCGAAAAGGCCATGGGCCCCGCCAAGGAGCGCGCTCTGGAGCAGCTGGTTCACAACATGGAGAGGCTTTTTACGCGCTTTGCAGATGTACAGCAGTGCCTGACGGAAATCAGAGATTATAACCAGAATGGCAAGAAGGTCCCGAGTGTCTACCCCAGCGCCTCTGAACCCCCCTATGTCAACGTCACATGTCAGGTACAGTTCTACTCCCCACGTTTTCTCTGTGTATTTGTAAATGAAGGGGATAATAACCCTAACTAGAGAGGACGAGATTCCCTCTCTTCCTACAGTCTCTGTCACGAGCAGCTTTTGCTTGAGAGGCTTAAACAGCTTAATCAGCGGGAATTTACACTTTAAGGATAAGTCGACTGAAATACCCGGAATCGTTTAAATCAGATCAAGTTATGGATGAACTGGTATAACAGCATTTAGCCTGACTTATTTGATTTCTCTTGACTTTCTCCTTCTCTCGTTTCAGAAGCAGTTATCGGAGAACGTGTTCATCGACGAGCGGAGGCCGGTGCTGCTGTGTGATGGGAAGCTGTGTCTGCGAGCCCTTCAGGACCTCTTCAACCTAACTATTGTGGAGATGGTGTATGGTATGTGCAGCATTGTTTTGTATTGTACAGTCTTCAACAACACATACGCTATAATTGGAAGTGATTAAAAGCCTAGTTCAGATTACAAGGTTTAGCACAAAAGCAGCTTACTATGTTTTAATGCGCATGTTTCACTGTAGCAACACTCTGTCCTCAACTGAGACGCAGCAGCCAGCCATAGCCATCTCAAACTACACTTTGCATTTTAAAGTTAACTTGACAATGAAACGGATCTCCGATGTAGAGACAACCATGTTGAGCCAATCGTCTTTGTGTTTCCAGGTCCACTGTGGGTTGTGCTTGTGGCAGATGCAGACGGCTTTGTGCCTCTGACGTTCAAACCCAAAGAGGAGCTTACGGTGCGCAACGGGAAGAGGAAAATTAACCTGCGGACTCCTGAGAGCTCCGTCCCATCCAGTCCAGCCCCCGGCCAAAGCCCCCACACCATCGCAGAGTTCTCCACCTAGTGCCTCCTGACACGCGGCCCAGTTCATGGACTCACGCAGTTGTATCGTCCCTAACTTAAATATGTTTGAGTGGATCCAATACACAGATAACCAGTTATATGTCAAATGTATTTTTCTATTAAAGAACCGTAGCGAGTGGCAAAGGGCTGCCTGTTCAGATGTGATGTTTACATGTTGCTGCTTTGAAATGAGAGCTTAACCCAAAGAATGTGTGTTCTTTAATGTCTTGTTGACAAAATGCACTTCTGTTGTGGAGGACACCGATCGCAGTGCCATGGTGCTCTACCAGCAGTATGTTTTAGAGACGTGTAACACATGTGTCCTGGTACGAGAACTGATAGAGGCTTATGTTTGAGGTAAATGTTTTCTTCTGTTCTGCAGAAATCCCCACGTTAATGAGATGCACATACAATTTCTGGATTGGCACTTTTATGCTGAATTGTCCCGCTCCAACGAATGCGTTACATACAAGTTTGATTTAACATTGTCATGCCACACTTTGGGTTGTATATAATGTTCATAAGAACACAGTTAAAGCACTTTTTACCGAGCTCAGTAACACACCTGACCACTAGAGGGGGCAAGCCTCAACAGAGACCTCCCTGTCATTGCTATAAATTGTCAATCGCAGCTCTATTGAAAACCAAATGAGTGTGAAAGTAGTTTAAAAGAACATCTCTTGGTAGCCTTTTGAATATTAAATCTGCATAACTAGCGTGCATTCTTTTGTGTGTTACTTATTTTACTCCAGAGAATAAAACACAACACCCGCATTTATTCGGTCTATTAACCAACCTCCACAACATTTATTCATTTCATAACATCAGCCCTCAGTAATCATATATCATCAATAAATAACAGTATTGTAGCGCTAAACACAGCAAATAATGGTATACATTCATTGATATAAATTAGGTAATCTTATATATTTATATATCCAAGATGACTGTACAGTACATGTGAAAATGAAACAAAAAAGTTTACATTAGAACGATTGAACTATTTATCAGTGTAATATACACTAATGGACAACTTTCCAGCGGAGGTAACTGGAACACGTGGCTTTGTGGATTCACTTCATTCAAGACCCAGGTCACACACTATTCAAATCTTCCGTTGTTCTGGAGCTGATGCTTTGTTTCCTGTGGGAGACGTCAGTGTGTCACATTAGTAACAGCGGCTTTACTCACAATACTTCTGTACTTCATCTAAAGGTATACTTTTGAATACAGGACTTCAACAATGCTACTATAGTGAAATATTTGTACATATTGATATTAAATGATCTGAATACTTCCTCCACCGCTGATCAATAGTAAATGAAATGCTTATGGCTTTGTTGGCATAATGGCGCAGCTGAACACACTGGCAACAGTTTGTTCCACGGATGAGATAACAAATAGGAGGGAAGTAATAACATTTCTCATAACTTAACAAAGTCCTTCATGCAAAGAATATTAATGTCATGGATTAAAGGGGTACTCCAGCAATTAAAAAAAGCCCTTTTATTGAAGTCAAAATGAAGAAAGAATAATCAAAATCAAACTAGCAGCGGCTGAGATATCCTGACTTTTATTCTCGAGCATGGGTCGAGCTCCTTTTCCTACATTTCCCATAATGCAACTCAATGGCGTCTCTCATTAGACCATTACTGCCTCATAAGTGCCCTTTTTGTTTTCAAACACACAGTTTGTTAGGCAGACTTTCTGTTATAGATTTTAAGTCTCAAGCCCAAGACAAACTTTCTTAAGGAAAAATAATCCTGCTCACCGTAGCTCATCCAGGCAGAGTCTGTTCCTGAGTCGCACGTCTTCGCTGATAGGATAGAGCAGTAGGATCATTAACCCCGTAACAATGAAGGCCACAGGGGCAGCACCAATCAGCAGCTTCAGGGTGTACACTACAGGGGCAGGCTGCTTGCAGGCGCCGGTGTCATACCCTGCAAATCTACACACACACACACACACACACACACACACACACGCAGAGATCCAATTTAAACACAGGTTACAGGAAATCGACATCCCAGCCTGACGCTGCAATACTGCAAAGGAGCCAACTGCACACCTTTCACATAATGAATCATACATCAGGTCCGGGGTTAATGCATTTCTTTGCAAGGTATCATGACTAAGTGCAGATGCAGAGCATCATAGAGTGTGTAAATTAATGGAGCGTGTGTGTGATAGGAATGCAGACTTACTCCAGGCAGAGGGTGGACACTCCCAGGGAGATGCCCGCTGCGAACTTGGTGAAAAACACGTAGAACGAGTAGAAGATGGCCTCGTGGCCTTTACAGTAGGGGTTGGCCAGTCTGAAGTCATCCACCACATCTGGCAGCATAGACCTGAATCACACACACATACATGCAGAGTTCAACACTAATCTGTGGTTTTTGTTTTGTTGTTTTTTTTGCAGGATTTTGGGAGCGTGTGTCCTTTGTCTTCACTCAAAGACATGATGCTCGCCTAAGACCTCCCTCACGCTCTGACTGTAACCATCTTATAGCAGGTCCTCTTATAGCTCTCCGATAAACCGGTGGGCTAAAATTACAGAGCTAATAAGACGATTACACGATGAGCAGCGCTCGGTACCACCGGCTTCAGCCCGCAGAGAAGATAAACAATCGGCCCCTTCCAAAATAAACATGGCCCCGTGGGAGGCCCCTGTAATTTGGGGTTTGAGGGAGGGGACGAGAGATGAGTGAGGAGCGTTCTTGTAGACGCTGAGAAGAAGACTGCGTTACCTCCGGCGGTGTATTAGCTCTGTGATGGTATATAGAGGATTTATAGCAGACGCCGCCTCTGATTCATAAAAATGACATCACGTTCGTGACCGTGACATGACCCAAGTGAATGGACAGGAACCTCTAGGCGCTGGGTCACCACTAACAGCAGGTTCTGTGCTATATCATGGTTTGACTAATGACGCTTTGCATCAAATCAAAGGGGAACTAACATGAGCAGTGCAACCACTGCACAGACAGACTTACAGCAGGACGGCCTTTGTATAAACAATGTCGGAGGCTTAGCGGACTTTGAATATTTCAAGGATATAAATCCAAATTCTACTGATAGAAAAGTAAGCTGTAGCATATTTTTTTTTAATCCTCATTGGAGGCACATAAACCTTGGAGACGCCCTGGACGGTCACAAATAGCGTTGACACAGACGGACTCTCAAATCTAACAACAACAAAGAGTCTACAGTCCACCGGGCCTGCCTGGTTTTTAAACTGCTGGAGGAAACTGGAGCACCGTGTTCACATGTTCATCTGATAAAAGTTTATTCAGCTCAGATGTTTAGACCATTTTAGAGATTATTTGGTGTTTTTGAATAAGCTTTGATCCTATTTGTCTTGTAAAAAGTGACATTGTTCTTGAGGAATAAGGTGGAAAGACCTTTCCCAGAAACTGGGGGGAATGGGTTACTACCTCCACTTCAAACAACAGGGAAGCTATCATATCTGGATCTTAAAAAAATCTAAGGACATAATGGTTCCCATGCTTTACTCCTTTTCTTTTGTAAAATATATCTAAATATCTAAATTGACAATAAAGAAAAAGCGATGATCATCTTGAGTGAAGCATGATATCTGATGTGCTCTGGAGTCTTACCACGGCAACAGGAGCGAGGCGGCCACACTGAGTCCAGAGGAGACGGCCACGACGTAGGCCACCACAACGTTGGGGATGAAGACCAGCATCAAGGTGAAGGGCATGATCCACTAGATAGAGGAATCATTTAAAAACAAATGTAAAAAGTCTTATAGACGAGGGCGCCACGTTGCCTTCTTTGTCCACAAGATGGCACAAACATCAAAGTGTAATAGTCCAAGTTAAAAGCAAACCAAAATAAAAACGGTATACTCACTGTGATACCGCAAAAAGCCGCTGTCTTCTTCCCAAACCTCTGCAGAAACCATTGCCACACCGGGATGCTTATCACTGCAGAAACCTGCGTGAACATGTCCAAGTTGGATCACGTGTGAGTAAGATAGTCTGAGGAAGATGATGAAGTTTCTATATGTGAGAAGTGTCATTGTAAGCGTGTGCAAATCTGGAATGAGGCCAGTTTCCTTTGTCAACATGAAATATTTGTCACATAATTTGTGTAAAACAGCTGCTGTGGTTCAAGTAAAGGTCTAATGTGGTCATAGGGATAAAAATAGTACCAGGATTGAAAAAATGAAGAAGTTATAAAGTGAGTGTATGTAGTGTTGTTCAAGTTGAATGTATTTTTAACCACGCCGCTATATTTGTAGTTTACAGTCAAGTCACATGGTGTATCTTTGGGTGCTTAGAAAGAAAGAAGCTGTACTCACCAGGATGGTCAGCACAATATTCTGGAAGTGATCCCTCAGGTCGGCGGCGTAAGTGCAGAAGAGGACGAAGTTGCTCTGTACCAGCTGCAGAAATCAGAGATGAAACGTTCAGATATTCACTCATGTCTTGTCTACTCAGCGCTGTCGCTGGGCGCTCAGCTCGCTGCTGACGGCGTTTTGCAGAGATTTATTCCCACCCCGGGGCTCGCATGGATGACAACTGACACCTCCACTGAGATGAGGGATCGCAGATACATACGGAAATAGATCCCATGCAAAAGTTGGAGTAGTCTGCAATAATTTAAACAGCCTGAACCCCAGGTGTCAAAACTGAAGCGTCAGGCTGCAAGTGACAAACAGCAGAGAATGACGCGCTGCTATCATTCTAAACGGCCTTAAAAACATGCTTTAAACCGTGAGCCTTCAGTAAGTGCTCTTCTACTTTGATCAAATCAACATCGAGCACCAGCAATTCTTCCGCCTTGTCAGGATGCAGGACTCCATTTGCCGTAAACGTGCTTTTCACCTGAATGGCGACGGTGATGAAGAGGAAGGCAGCGGTCAGAGTGAGGTACGGCCCGTGTCTCATCACCAGGATGAAGCCCTGGTGGAACGGGATCTGCTTCTCTGTCTTCGGGGCGTACGGATCTGAAACGGTAAGATGTGGAATTAGGATACGAGTATGCAGCATATATCGGATAACATGCAGTTAAGAGAGAGGCGATGGATTTGCTCCTGGCACTGCCCAGCTGCATTGCAGCGGATGCTGTTTGTCATTTATAATACAGAGATCAGAGCATGAGAGCAAACACTGGAGGACCTCCAAACGGTTCAATGACACTCGTACTTGTAAAAGTGAAAAAGATGCAAGAAAACAGCGAATGTTCCAGTTATTAAGTATGAGCCTCGGCTCCTAGTTTCATCTCCAACTCTACTGGTTTGAGTCCAAAATGTGTTCCCAAATGTGGAATAGCTCATTAGGGCTGCAACTAACGCTCCTTTTCATCACTGATTTATGTAAGAATAATCTTTTTTAAATGAATCATTAGCCTATGAAATGCAGAAGAAGAAAAAACGTTCCCAGAGACCAAATAGTCCAAAACTAAAGAATATTCAATGTACAATGTTGTAAAAAAAAAATAGCATTTGAAAAGCTGAGATCAGCTCATGTCTGGCACAAAAAGGAAGATATTATACAACTGATTTGACAGACTTAGTAGTCCCACTATTTGTTATGAGTAAACTGAACTTTATGCGTGATGTTGGAGTAGTGAAGTCATTGTTTCCCTCACCGTCTCTCTCTTTGACTCCCAGGAACATCACCAGGGTGCAGACGAGAAACACTCCTCCTATCACACCGGCAGCTATCATGTACATCTCCTTCTGCAGGAGAGAAAGGACACACATGTAGCAGCAACAGTCCATCTCTTCTTACACAGCCAGCACGAAGCCAGTCTATTCTCAGCCTCATCTCAATCTTTAATTCATAATGTGCTCAAATGCCTAAACGATTCTAGTGCTTCATTTCACCCTGCTATACGTCCATTACGACGTGATTTATTGCCTGCGACTTTCTGTGTTTATTTTCTCGGCATCCCTTTAAATAGCAAACTCCGCCACGGGCATTTCACTGTACAAATACAAGCATCAACAGCAGGAAACCTCAAGTACAGCTGTATCCTTAAATACATGCCGTAACCGTTTAATGCTGCACCTCGACAGGAACTGCTCTGCCTTACACAACCTCTGTTTGTTTGCTATTTTTCCATGTGGCTCAGCCAGCAGTTCATTATTATTTATGCACATCAAACACACCCTGTTTCCGAGGGCAGACCTAGTTTGCGCAGACGGTGTGCCACCCTTCACCAGCGACCGCGGAGGAATTTAGCGGGTGGCTGCGGAGGGTTTGGCGCGGTGAGCGGGTCGCCCCCGAAAAGGTTCACCCGAAATCCATCGGAAAAGAAACCCAAATAGCTGCGGTGCAACCAAAATCCAACACCAGGACAGTTTGGACTTGTTTCATCCTCGCAAAGAAGCAACTTGTTGGACTCACAGCAGAAGTCGAGTTTATTTCACAGCTCTGCAAACTGAAATGTTTCCTATCGTGTTCCTTTCCCTCCAACTTTACACTAAACTGCAGCCACCGTGAAGTAAAACACTCATATCCCAGACATATTGGATCTGGAGAAGCCTTGTTCCAAATGTTGCGGGTGGGATATAAATAGGCCTAATGACTTACAGACTGCGGAGACCCCTCAGTGTGGGGGCCACAGTTTGGAGCCTGATTTGAGGGAGTGAACCCCCTTTGTGGTCGATGAGAGGGGAGCCGGCTCAGGATGTCGGGTTCAGATATCAAACAGTGGCGTCTCCTTTCAATCCCACAGGTTTCATGGGTTAAAACACGGGGCCATTTTGGATGTCAGAACCTGTAGACAGTCTGTAAATATGGACCCAATTTTCGAACAATCCTCCTTTTCATTCAGCGCTGCTTTTTTTGGACCCCCCTTCCCCGAGAGCACACCGCAGCTCCAAGTTAAGTGAGAACGATGATGACAGTCCCAAGTTATTTACCTCCGTGGCCTACTTTGGGCACACCTGGGCTCCCGGTCTGTTCACGGGGACACTTACCGAGTGTGACAGGTAGTCCTGGGAGCGCACCAGCCTCCTGACGATCTCCGTCCCGCTGCTGTTGCCAAGGTAACCGGCGGACATGTTGTGAGGCGGGCAGTGCTTCAGAGTGTGAGCGCTGGCCACGATCTGGCCCTGGATGGCGGCGCCCACAAGTGTCCCCAGCACCTCCATTGTCATTCCTGGCGTCAACACAAGAAAAGATCCAGCTATCAGTTTCCTGCACTTCAAAAGCAAACTCACACATTCTTAATCTGATGCAAAGAAAGCAAAGATTAATTCAGCACTGCAGTCATTAGCAGCTGCTTTCTATGCATATTAAAAGGAGCTCACGGTAAGCAGTGGCCGAGTCTCTCTCCTTCTGGTCTGTGCTCAGGAACATGGTGAGAGCAGAATAAGGCACGTGGAAGCACTGCAATGGAGCAGAAAGACACAGTTATGGCTCGGGTAAATAACGAATACGAAGTAACGAAATGTGGCTCAGCAGCATTCGCGCAATTCTCATAAGGCTGAAGAAAGATAATGAATTTTGAGTTGTTTTTTGTTCTTAGCGTGGCAGCATGGCTCTAGTTGGTCGCTCCACCCCTTTGGTACACACCAAAATATCTTCGGAACTATTCAGTTGGATTGCAATGAAATTCTTTGTACAGACATTCATGGTCCCCACATGATGAACCCTAATGATTCTCCTCCAGCACCACAATGAGGTTGATATTTGCGTTTTTTGAGTGAAATAACTCAAAAACGTTTGAATGGATTGGAACTTGGTACACACATTCATTCTCCCTTCAGGGAGAATTGCAACCACATTGGTCGTTCCTGATATTTTGATCTCTACTGGCTTGTTAAAAACCTCCATAACTGATGACATTTCCATAAGATGCTGAACATCACACCTGCTAAACATGAGCGATTGTCATAGTGAGCGTGTTAGCATACAAGTCAAAGCGTTCATTTAAGCTCAGCCTCACCATTGCTCCCCACTCTTTAGTCTAGCGTATAACATTTGACTCACAATCAAATGGGAACACCCAAGATATGTTTAGATGTCTTTAATCTACAAGTGCCTGTGGAAATGCAACAGAAAAAAAGGAAGATAAAAATACAGCAATCTCTGCAGTTTCCATGTTGGCCGACCTCAGCTCTCTGTTTTCTCCTTCCTCACCACCTCTCCCAGAGAACAGGCGAGCAAACCGAGTCTTGCTTCACTTTGTAATTTACACGAGGGCTCAGTCAGCACTGCGGAAGCCGCGACGAAAATAAACGCGGCCGTGGAAGGGTTTTCTCCAGCCGCCGGTTCTGAACGGTATGTTATTTATGGGGCCTTTACTGGACGCAAACATTTATAGAATTTAACCTGCTTAAACCGTTCGCTGCAGATGGAAGTGAGAACTAATAAATCGGATAGAAGCCCCGTTAAAGCTTGATTACATAAACAGATGATGTCTTGCATCCTAGCCTGTGTTTACAGAATGATAGCAGCTGGCCTCTCCCAGCTCACTTCACACAAACACACACATCCAGAGACAATGAAGGCAGGCTAAAAGTGGTAACCAGCATTTACCCAGCAAGAGGTTCCTGGCAGGGCTGCCCGTATACTTATCAAGTAGTTAGAATGACATGCCATTACAGCTCGCCGCACTGTGGCTGCAGCGGTCTGCGCACTCTGTAGCACATGTTAGATGGGTTACCCCAGAGCAGGGGTAGAGAGATGAATGGTCTGGACCATAATAACAAAAGGCAACCTAAATAACTACGCTTCCCCTTTGAGGTGAGCAATCTAAGAGCTCTGGGCTCTGATGTGCTGCTTGTCTGACAAATCAAAGCGCAAACCCAACCAGGAGCTGTCGGAGTCTGGCATGAGACGACTGTAATCATCTCCCACGTTTGTTATTCGCAGTGTTTGCAGCATTTTATCTATATTGTTACGCAACATGTCTTCTGCCGACTGTGAGCCGCATCAATAAGAGCTTTCATCTCCCGTCTCCCACTCGCCGCCTCTCTTGCGCCGCGCGCCCGAATTCCCGCTGAGTGATGTAAAAGCACGCATGCGGCATTTCAGATTCCCAAAACTTCAAAATGCACTCCTGAAAGGGCATTCGTACTTACAGTGATGAGGGTTTGGTAGAGGCAGTAGAAGCCGAGGTACCAGAGGAACCTGCCGCTGATGAAGGGAGGAACGAACCAGAGGTAGAAGTAGGAGACCACCAGGAACGGAGAGCAACCCACCATCCTGGAAAACGCACACAGACGCATGTCAGGTGAGAATAAACACTGAAGCCAACTGTCAATATGAAGCACACGTACTGTAATTACGTCTCAATGAGGGGTCTACGCAAATCTCCAAGCAGCCACCATCTCCATTGTATGAGTACAGATGACAGTGGTTGTGTTATGTAATATCCATAGCGGTGCAGTGTTAAAATCAGGCCATATTTGTGGAAGATTACAGTGAGGCTAAGCTGACAGCTAAATGATTATGTTGTAAGTGTGACAGGAAATACCACAATATTTCAAACCGTTCACACACACAAACGCATGAATAAGCAGCACACGCTCACGCAAAGGCCGCATGAAGCAGTTCTGCTGCGTTGTGCTTCTTGCAGAACTCGGAGCGATACGGTACGGGAGCCGTGTATAATTCATAGGTAAACAACCGTGGTGTGTCGTTACGGTTAACGTGAACAGCTGTGTGTTTTGATGTGACGCCAAAACGGGCAGATTATGGAGGATCAACTGTACGACTTGTCTGTGCAAACACCAACATATCATCCGCCTTTTCCTTAAAAGAGCGTTTGTTTGTCATGCGGTGTAGGGTCTGAAACAGCTGCACATTAACAGGTAGAACAAGGGGGCCGGTGGGGATTTTGGTGACTGTGACAAAAACCTGCAGCGGCTTCTGAACTCTGACCCGCTCCGACTGCACCGGGAGTTGTGAACAGAGAAAGCGGGAGAAAGGAGCAGAGAGAGAGGCAGAGGTAGTGGTCATTTCTAGCATCGTCCAGCCCGCCCACCTCACTCTCCTCCTGATTGTTTGCTTCAAACAAAGGCGGCCGGTAACGCTGGTGCTGCAGTATTGACCGCTCGGTCATGGGAGCGATGAAAGGGCCCCCGGGGGGGTGGGGGGGGGGGGGCGATGAATGGGGCGGTCAGAACGTTCCTGCAAGATGACTGCGTGTTTCGGGGAGCGGCGACAACGGCACATGCGCCAAGCACACTCGCGCGTTCACGCATTGGAAACACACTCGCACCTGTCCCCAATCATTTTGCACACGTCTTAATTAAGACAGGGCGGGCTGATAGGAGGCTGGCGCGCATAGTTCTCTTCTTTCTGACTTGCTCCTGCAGAGTTTTAATTAGATGCTGTGCAGAGGGGAGAGGAAGGTCAGCGGGTGAGAGTGTGCTTTCTTCGTTGACTTTGAGATTTAGTGTTCATACAGTCCACTACATTTCAGTGAGGAATATTGTAGGCTACTTTTGTACTCTTACATATTCTACTTATGTAAAAGAATTAGAGCAGTCATATTAATCAATCAATCTAATACACATATTGTATAATGATATAGCTGTCACAAGGGCCAAGTAGGTAGTAGTATTTGACTCATAATACTTCAATAATAATATTTTACATTGTTGTATCGGTACTATTACTTCAGGAAAGGAGCATTTCTTCCTCCACTGGTATACCATCACTGTGTCTTTCTCTAGTAGAGACAATCTTCCATGAAGAAAAAAGTTCTCGCCACTGGGATTGTGCAATATACTACAACCACAAAAATAATAAACAGGGCAGCACCCAGGAGGGCGTTTTTTGGGCCAAATGACTCCATCCTAAAGAAGATAGGAATCACGTTATGTCTGGCAATGAACGCTTCCTGCTGGATGGGCAGAGGGGACTTTCCAAACAGGGTCCAATCTGAGGGAATGTCTTGCAATCTCTTCACACATACTGATGAGCCCACATTTCAAATACCCACATAGTGTATATACTACACACAGTATTCACATGGGCGCACATACACACACACACACACACACACACACACACACACACACACACACCTGCTGCTTCCTGTGAGTAATCAAAGCTGATTCAACAGCCATCAGCATCTGTGGCCGGCTGGCCACAGTGGACCTGGTCCCCCTGCAGCACTGTCAGCTCGTATGTAATCTATGGTTTATAATGCAGTCGGCATTAGATCCTGAATGTGTAATTACAGTAAGTGTTCAAAAGACTACACACACACACACACATGCGCAGCCGCTTATAGGATCATCTTTTGCAAAAATGGTGATTTGTGTTAATAGCTTCGTATAATCCGCAATCGTAGAGCCACAAAGAATAATTCCTCTGAGAGGCCGTGAGATACTTAGCATCTTGCGCACAAAGGCAGCTGGGTGATGTCCAAATGTGAAATGAGGTGTTACATAGATGTAATCAAATGTAATCGGGGAGGAACGGTGGCAACACCACTCATGAAAGAATGCAGATGAATTTCCTTGTCTTTTGTTGTCTGGCCTCAAACGGCGGAAATAACAAAAAGAACAGCCGACGCCCTTGAAGCTGAACTATGTAAAGCTCATCAGAGGGAGCGTCGGGAACAGTGTAATTAAAGCACAAAGGCTATTTATTCTGCCCAATCCTCAGGTGAGAGCCTCGGGCCTGAGAATAATTTGGGAAAACATCCGAAAGTGGAGCACATTGGGGTTTTTATCTGTTTAGACTTTGCACAAACACGAGCATGATGTAGGGTCCGTAATTATGTCTGACAGAGTGGGAGAAAACCAAAACAAAGTTTCATAATCTGTTGACAAATTCCAGTCCTTTTTACGCAAGCTTATCTGTATGTCAACAGCAGCACCTTACTGTGTTTTAAACAAGTCTATTAGCTTCGGTAAATAAATAAATGAAATATTATTTTGCTTTTTTTATGAAATTGCTTATATGTCCTCCTTCTTAAAGGTTGAACTGCAGTTAAACAATGAGATTTTGTGTATGAATTTTCCTTGGTAGCCGAATACAATAATATACTTCTGTGGCAATATCTTGAAAGCAGTAACAGTCCTTCCCTAAAGAACTGTCTTATTATTACTATTTCTGTACAACCAGATGTTTTGAATGTGATTTACAGATAAAAGGAGAAAGAAAGAACCCAATGACTGTGAAAGAGAAACAACAATGATGGAGTTTCCTTCATGGTGTGAGCAGGGAGCTCACCAGGGCATGAGTCTGCCAATCCTGGTCCATCTGCTCTTCGTAATGAAGAAACCGACGACAGGGTCGGTCACGGCCCCCCAGGCTTTACCGATGAACAGCACCATGGAGGCCTGGAAGGCGTTGATCTGCGGAGCAGAACGGGAACAGAGTAAAATAAAAACACATGCAGGCACACACAACCATTTGCTTCTCATATAAAGGAGCCACACACACACACACTTTTCCTCATTGTCAAACACATACCTGAGCGACATCCAGCAGGTATATTTGCAGGAAGAAGGCTGTGGCGCTGGCAGCCACCTCCTTGGGCGCGCCGCCGATGGCGAAACACAGCTTGCTGCTAAATGTCAACTTATGGCCCAACTCGGTCTGTGGAGACAGAGGCGACAGAGCGGAGGAAGAAACTTATTTTCAGATAATGGTGGCCACACAGGTCAGGCTGCTAATGAGCCAATTAACTTTCCTCCACTGCAAGCGATCTGGGGAAGACTCTCATTCCTCGCAGGGAACGGGAGATAAAGGATGCCCGGCGCTGAAAACTGCTTGCTGTCACTAAACACACAATAGAACTGCTTAGCGTTGTGGTTTAAACTAAGTATAAGGTAATTGCTTCTGACAAGGTTTTGCATTTATGGACACCATACCATCAAGGCTGAGGCCAAGAGACGTAATTGAAAACAATATATTCAGATTATTTTGAATTAACAGGATCAAGCAATCTGTAACATGTGCACGCGTGCATGTGTGCATCCTACTTTTCTTTCTTATATTTTCATCATCATTTTAAATCCAGAAAGTGAGGAGTAGTGTGTCACTTTGTTAGCCAATCAGCGTGGATGATTCAGTCATAACATGGTAAACTGTAGGTTGAGTACTTTAGACTGAAAGCCGTGAAATCCAACCAACTAAACTAACTTTTATTTTAGTTCCCGAACAAATTCCCACCTAAACTGGAGACGACTTCCCAGACACACCAACGTGAAGCGAGCTGTGTCGCTCTCATGTTGCCCCCTCTTATGACTCATAGATATTGAATCATGTAGTTGTTCATGGTCTCAATCCTTCCTCCAAATTCAATTTCAGGTGCTCCGAAAATAACATTCCTTCTCATCTTCATGTCGTACGTGACGTACGTTGAGGATGCGTGGACGTTTATGTGTTTCTCCAAGAAAAAACACACACAGATAGACTGTAACTGCAAACTTAGATCATCTTCCCGTATCTTTGCCTCCCTAAATGACTTACTCTAGCAGGCAAGAGAGATGCTCATGTATAAAATATGTGTGCGTGTTAAATAGATAGAGAATCAGGAGCCCCCCCCCCCCTTGCCGGCTGTTTGCATTGTGGTCCGTCTGCGCAGGCACTGAGGCCCATGGAGGAGCCGGAGAAACCCACCGAGTCATCCACAGCTCCGTTTCCCCTCACCGTGCTCTGCCAAAACCATCAGACACGTGACTGTGTGTGTGCGTGACGTGTGTGTGTGTGTAGGTCTGTGTGTGTGTGTGTGTGTGTGCAAAAAGAAGGGGAAAGCTTTCATCTTCACACATGAATAAGACGAGTCACCACAGTCTGGGGAGCACAATATTTACGACTGTCTCCAGGGGCTGTGCACAACCTTTGCCTGTTCCCCCGATTCTATATAACCTTTGGTGTCAGGCACACACACACACACAAAACAGTGTCACTCCACATCCAGTGGCCCAGGCATAGCCCCACAGCTACCCCCCCCCCCCCCACCCCATCCAAGAGCTTCATGAAAGGGGGAAATCACCAAAGTAACCACTGCCACGACCGGCACACTGTTATTATCCGGCCCACGTTTTCTCTTCCTCCTTTTTTGTCGCCCCATCAAAACATGGAGGGGTTCGAGAGCGACAATTACCAGGAGGTAGGTGTGTAATTATTCAATCGCAAGACAAGCGGGTCAGAGGTAAGTAAAGGCTGCGCGGCGGTTCCGACTTCAAAACTCTCTCTTCTTCCACTCTCACTGAAATTAATTAATTAATAATTGGAGAGAGAGAAATTAAAGTCTTTGGTGTCTGGAGAATGCTGCTTATCTGATGATGTGCAAAAAATACTCCATCTCTCTCTCTCTCTCTGTCTCGCTCTATCTCTGTTTGTCTCTCTCTCTCGCTCTCTCTCTGTCTCTAAACTCTTATTCTTTCCCTCCAAACACTTACTCTCAATCTTTCATTACTGCATTCTTATCATCAAAGAGGATAAACAGGATATCCTTTCTAATGTCTGGATGCACAAACAGCACCCCCCACACACACACACACAATTCAAAACACAGACAGAAACGCTGGCTCTGACTAAAGGGAGCATCTGCAAAGTTAAGACTGTCAACAAGCAAGGACAGATAAGACTAATCTCTAAAGTTCATGAATCCTTAACCGCTAGAGGGGAAACTGAACTGCAAGTGATTTAAGTCAGGATTGAGGATAATTCTAGTGCAAAGAAAAGGAGGGGAGAAAAACATGTGCCAGCAAAGCTATATTCTCCAAATAAAATGTGTACACTGAAGGTTTGCGTGCAAAAAGTTAAGCTGGTAAAATGGATATAAAAAAAACTGTTTAAATGTTCATTCAGTGACGGATTTTCTGACAATTCTGGCTATCAGGGTCATACCAAAGGGTTCTCGTTGTGGGAGTTGACAACAGTAGCTTTGTGCCATCACTTTAGATTATGGATTATGAGAATGAAAGCAAAAGGTTGATTATGTCAGTGATGGAAGCAAGCCATCAAAATGTCAATGGTCGCCTGGTGACGCCGGCTGAACTCGCAGGGAATCAAATCCAGTAAATCCAGAGATGGACAGAATTTATGGCTCCCCGGGCATGTCAGTGTGACAAAGCTCCGTATGTGGAATTTGCTGTGGCAGTTTACTGAGCATTGATCCGTCATGTAGTCACATTCACGACGGGAGAAAGTGTCCACTTCAGTCCGTATACTTTGAACTTTGAAGCTTCTGGCCCAGAAGTGGTCCCAACATGTTCCAGCTACATCTTAAAGGTCTTTTGGGGAAATAAAAAACGACTATTTATGCTGAGACAATACTCAACTTTTCTTCCAAATATAATTAAATACCGTATATTAACACTGCAGATCAGACAGAGCTTTAGAGAGGAGACAGACGCAGAACTAGTTAGATCGAGTGATGTATGCGTGATGTATCCGTGATGTAATGCTGTTTTCACAAGCAACCTGAGTCAACGTAGGGAAACAGAAAACGAGTGACTAACTTCCACGGTATTGCTTTGCGACAGTATTTCAAAAACTGTTCTGCATTACATGGTATCTAAACCAAGAGGCAATACACCGTGTGAAGACTTGCTGTCTTCACAGCTCACTTCCATTCAAACACAAATACAAACACACACTCACACGCCAAAGTTTTACTTCCTTCACAGACTTATCACCTTCTAGCACTCAAATGGCAATCAGCCACAGCTCTGATATGATGAATCTAACGAGAGATAAGTCAACCCAGTCTTCTGGTATTTGTAAAACTTGAGTAAGTCATTCCTTTCTACTGTCTTGCTTCCTATAATGAATGTGATCACGACTCTATTTCCTCACTTAAGTCCACTGATCAGAGAAAAAAGGTCATCATCCTATCAGTCAGAGCAACCTTGCTCAAATGAAAACAATCAACTTCACAATCAAGTGGATTACAGTTCACAGGGAAACAATGCAGCTGATTAATTGCAAACAGATAGTTGTTGTTTTTTCTCTCCTTCTCCATCCAATCATGTGAAGTCACTCACAGCCAACCTAAGCTGCAAAACACACCAGATGAGATTGGAAATTCTCACTCAGATTTGTGCCTCACTACACAGCACTGGTCGAAACAAGCTGCCATTGCACATGTGATGACAAACAACAACAACAGAAGAAGAAGCACAGGTGGCCTTACCTGCTGAGGAGTTTTGGGGAACAGCGGCTCAGTGGGCTTGATGAGCTTCCCCGCGGAGCCCTGCGCTCCCTTGTCCCCCTTGGTCATGGCTGAGAGGCTGTGCGTGAGGCGGCAGCCGTACTTTTGCGCAGGCGTGTGCGAAGGAGTGCTGAAGTGCGTGTGACTGCGACTCCTCGTGTGAGCGAGAGCGCGGGGAGCCTGCCACTGGGTGGTGGTGGTGCTGGTGCTGTGTGTCAGAGGCTGAAACTGGATGTGGCTCTGGCTCCGGGTGTGTGCGCGGTGCGCGCGAGTGACGGCTCCGGAGGCCGCGGGCTCCTCCTGCTCCTCTGTGACAACTCTGCCGCTTTCTACCGCCATTCACATGCTGTGGTTGCTCTGGAATGAGGCCGGGGAGAGAAAGGGGAAGGAAAGGGCAAATGTCAGACAGGCGGTGGTGCCACACACACACACACACGCACACACACATCTGTAAAAAAAAAAAAAAAAAGCATATAGGCACGCACACACTCACTCAATCAATGACAATAATGCAGGCACGCAAACACACAAAGACTTTGGATGCATGCACAAAAAGGCATAAATGGGACAATGCACAACAGCAGAGTTGAATACAGATGCAGGAGAATGTAACAAGAAACCACACACACACACACAGACACACACATGCTCAAACTAAGCAACCTTTTCTAAATAAACAGACCACTAAAAGTCAAATGTCATTCAGGTTACCATCACCTGCTGTATTTGACAGCTTGCGCAGCTGTCTGCGCTTGAGAAAGAGCAAACGGGCGCAAAACAGCGACGATGTCCCGTGCAAGAGTGTGTTAGTCTGCCCTACTATTACTGAAAGCACATCCATAAACAACCACTGATAAGAACCTTGCTTATATATATTTTCTTTTTTTTAAAGGAGAAAACAGATGTATGGTCCTACCTCTTGTTGATGGGAAAAGCTGCCGCTGTTGTCAGCGGCTATGGTCAGTTAGTTTTTGCGGTGATCTGCCAGTCAGTCGGTCGGACAGGCAGGATGAGAAGGAGACTGCGGAGGATGGAGACGGTCTGCGCGTCTCCGCTCCCGGTTTGCTTTCAGTCTGCAGTGACGGAGCGGCGCCGTGCAGCGGCCGTCACGGTGCACAACACTCAACGGATCGCATGTATGTAGGCAATGAATGTGTGAGAGATTATGCGAGGCGTGTGTTTGACACGAGCAGTGTGTGCGTGTGTGTGTTTTGGATGGGAAGGCACGGCAAGGGGACCATGCCACAGAAAACACTGTTGTTTCTGACTTCATAGGTGTGTTTTTAGTGAGATAGTGACAAAATAGTGCTATTTTTAAGCATGTGTTAAACAATCATATATTATTCCTATAATATTCTACTCTTGAAAGGGTATACAATAAGCATCATTATTGGTTCTTTGGCATTCCGTATAAAAAGCATCACGCTTGGTGACATATTCATTTACAAACACTCACCCCGGTCTCTTATCATTCTGTTAGAGCGCATCATTATTACTCACGCGCTGTTAACACGCGGAATGTCTAAAGTGCAGTTTGGTTTCATTTCCCTCGCGGAAAATGTACCTGTGCGGTTCTTCGGAACAACGAGCCGGAAAGGTGTGCGTGCGAAAGGAACTCAACAAGGACCACTCAAGCGTGACTAGATAGCTCCCAGACTGCATCATCATCATCATCATCCTCCTCTTCATTATCATCATATAATCATGCATCATCCTCATCATCATCATCATCATCCTTATGATGTTGGTTACACTTTAGTTCCACTGCAAAATAGTTTGTAGTAAGTAAGTTTTTAGTTGGTTGCCTACAATGTAGGCTAATACAATGTAAAGTTTTGTAAATATAATACCTGTATAGGCCTGTGTGTGTGTGTATGTGAGTGTACAAGGCCTACTTTACGGGCTAGGCTACTCCGGATAAAGTTGAGTGATTCACAAAAAACAGATTTTCAACATCGAAGCAGCAAAGGCAAAGATATCCAAACTTTTAGTCCTTATGCCGGATCCTACATTTCCATGACCAGGTGGCAACCTCCGGTTCTGAAAAGTGAATCCAATGTGATAGTGCCTTAAACTTGCATTCTTTCAAATAGCCAGCAGGGGGCGACTCCTCTGGTTGCAAAAAGAAGTCAGATAGAAGTCTATGAGAAAATGACCCTACTTCACACTTTATTCCTGAGTAAACGTTGTAAACATGAGTTTATGGTCTCAATCTCTAGCTTCAAGTCTTCTTCAATACAGCATGATGTTCATTTAGTAAGTTATGGTCCATTTAGAGTCAAACAGACCATAAAGCAGGATTTGCTTCAGGGCGGGGCTACGTTGTGATTGACAGGTTGCTACCACGACGTTGTCCGGTCCGGGAGTTGTCTGATAACTTCTCTGTCTAGATGGCGACAGCCAAAACCAAGATGGCGGTGGCCAAAATGCAGAGCTTGAGGCTTCAAAACGGCGGTCCACGCACCAATGGGTGCCCCACGGTGATTGCGTACCTTCAGGCCGAGTTGTATAAAGAAATGATGTAGCCTACAATGTCCATAACTAGCATTTATTACCTCAGAGGAGTTAACGGAGGTTCTTTTCAGAGGGAAAAGAACCTCAGAGTTATTGTGATTGACTTGTGTTAGCATGTCCTGCTATCTAGCATGTAAGAGGCTAGCCTGCCAGCTAAAGTAGCTCACCAAATAGCCCCGGAGCAGTCCCTATATGTCACAGAGCCTCTATAACCCAAATAATTCATAATTAATTTCACTGTCCCCTTCTTTCAACCCACATGCAGCCTTTAAAAAATTTAACTTTCGAGCCCTGTAACCCCGATGACATCATTTATTTTATTCAAACTGGCTTTTGCATTTTCTTCAGGCTCCCCCCAGAGACACACGAGACATTACACATCTTACTCCTAACATCTTAAGCAGGGTTTCATTTGTATTGTTAGATTGCTATCACCAGGATCACCAAGCCAAATTCCTTGTATGTGTAATGTATACTTGGCAATAAACCGTTTCTGATTCTGATTATTTGTTTAATTTAGAAAACACGTGGCTCTATGCAATAAAATATTCTCAAATATACATGAAAATAGTAGACAGCAAGCCTTTTCTACACACATCTCTCTGGTTGGAGAAGGAGATGCAGTTCCACACATACTCGTACTGCTATTTTTTTAAGGCCCTTTTATCAATCTTTCACTTATGATATATTGAGTGCCTTTCATTTTCCAACAAAGCACTTTCATAAGCAGCTCCTTTTAGTGCAAGACGCTTACTCTCCACAGTAAGCCTCTCCTCAGAGCATGACAACAAACATGTTATGGAGACCTCAGCTGGTGAACCCAGACCTCTCTGTAAATCCCAAGCATGCAAACCCCTCAACCAAAACCACATTATCGACAGTGAGAGAGGCACCGCTGCAGAAAAGTCAGGCATATGACCTGCATTAGAACGGGTATGTTTCCGATAATGCGTGAAGAGGAATGTGCAAAATGAAAAGGTTGGCCGCTGCACGAGTAAAAGCATCCTTCTGAAAGGAAATGTGGGAGTTAAAGGGAAAGTAATTCCCTGCATGCTTAGCCTTATTAAATATGTAGCAGAAAGGAAATGTGCTCTCTTTTACTCTTTAGCCAGACCCCCCTTTGGCTGCCAACCAAGCGATGCCCACAGCCTGCACTTTCAGGTCAAAATCTTAAAATGTGGCCTCTTAGAAAGGTAATTCTTCAGAGGGGATTACACTATTCGAGACATCTCTTCGCCTGACCTTGGCCGTCCTGTGGCTGTCATCTCCTCTTCCTCAGCCACGAGCAAATAGAAGCCCTCCTCTGTTCTGCACTAGCATCCCTCCCGTTGCTTTAAATATTGAAGATGGATAATGGTGTTTGCGCTCTTCCCGAGGCCAAGCAAGAAAGCTTAGAGACGGAGAAGCAAGTGCACGCTCGTGTGTAAAAGCACACGCATGTCCTGAAACACAAGACGCCTCATTCAAGAAGAAGAGCGGGAATTCAACTTTACTCAACCCCATCTGAGTGAGATTTCTGTTGCTTTTTTTAACCCATTGACCACTACGATCACCGTCGGTACACTTCATACCATCAGATACATGCTTCCCATACTGTGTGTCTTTGTGTCAACGCTGTGAAGTCGCCATTCCTGCAATTCGGACTTCTTTGACATCAGTAGCTCCCCTCCCCCCTCACCTCTTGAGTCTAAATCCCCATTTAAATCTGTAGTAACAGCACAGATGTTGCATTACAACACGGAATAAGGTGCTGCATGGGTGTCATATCATGAACACGTCAAGCTGATGGATGCCTCAATTATCACATGTTTCGGTCAGCAGTCTTCACACCTGGGCAGCAAATAACAATATGAATTTCAATGCTGAAAGGGCTTTGAAAATATGCTTCATTCAATTAGTTTGAAGGTCAATAAATAAATACAAATTTGCAGAACTTTTGAGGATTTTTATTGTACCTTGATATGTTTTGAAAGGATGCAGTCAAATAAAACAATGCATTGTGCATTCTGAATTAAATAATGAACAAAAGCACAAAAATGGTAAAAGAAAAAATATAGACCTCAGCAGTCAGGCCAACTCATATAACAGTAACAAGCTGTCATCTTTCCCCCTTTTAAATCCCAATAATGTGCAAACATATGTTTATTAAATGTAATTGTAAACTCAGAGATACAAATGTAAATATCAGCCCCTTATTCATTTATTTCTTTTACTGTAAGTGCAGAAAAACTGGTGATCACAGTTTGGGAAGACGTAAGAGAGGTGGTCGGTGGTGCTGGTGGTGAAGGTATTGTGCATGTGTGTGTGAGGGGAGGAGGGAGGGTAACATGTGGTAGAGCAACAGATGGACACATCTGCACGGGCGACAGAATCCGTTTGCCTCTCTTGAGTTTGGGGGTTTTGGGAGATCTGTTGGCAGGTAAACGCTGTCCTCCAGAGGAAGAAGACAAAAAAAGCACTGACAACAAACAAACTGACAATCTCTCCATTAGGCTGTAGATAAGCCCACATGGAGATTTAAATATGTCAATCATAGAATCCAGGCAAACTTTAGAATAAAGCAATATTATAAGTTACAGGGGGCCTTGAGACTGCAATCAGGGTCTTGGTGAGGTGTCAGTAAAGGGGTTAAGGGGTGTGTTGTGGGCATTACAGGGGGGCCCCTTTTAGTCAGGAGTGTCCAAATGGAGCCTGTGTGTCCAGAGGTCTCTGGACGATGACGGCGGTGGCCAAGTCGGCCTCTTCTAGACTCAATTCTTTGTCGTTGAGTTCCCGGAAAGGAACGGACGTCGTCAGGACGAAAGGCGGGCAGCTCCTCTGGCAGCGCGCCACGAAATCTTGAACATCGGCGATCCTAGAGAAGAACCAGAGACCGAATTTTAGAAAGACATAACGAAAAAAAACATAACAAAGAAAGGCAGGACGGTTCATCAGCAGCAAAGCATCACCGCACAAATACTCTACTCTCTCTTGTGACACATGACGTCTCTCTGTGCTCGTAAAAAACATCCATTATTAATCACGGCCCACCATATACATGCGATCCTATGGCAGCCCGACACACACTGAGGCTCGCTGAAGGTTGGAGGGGTTCAGCCCTCCCTATCCTTTAGCTAACCCTGTTATATAAATGCTGCATCCCAGTTACGCAATCCCTCTCTGGGGATTTTATAGATCCACTCCGCTGCTACATCTCAGATTATGTTTTCTGCAGCCCCCTGCACTGTGGCAGGGGGATATAACATGCGCCGTGCCTTCGACTCCAGCAGACTAGAACAAAGCATTACGTAATCCTCAAACAAACCCCCTCGCCAGCTCCCAAGCTAGTACAAACAAAAATCTTGTGTCATCCCTTGAACTACTTCTTTTTCTGCGATGCTTGAGATTATGGGATTTACAGACAGCATAGCAGTGGTGGAAAGTGTCAAGATAGTCATTGCGCAGAATACTAAATCGGTCTTATGTAGATAATATTTGACGATGTCAAGCTCAGATGTGGAGAGATGCGTTTTGGCCTTTTGGACTTTGCGATACACACCGATGCTTTAGGTTGAACCTCTGCACCAATCTCCTGCCGTCAGCCAACCAGATCTGCAGGGCGGTAACAGGAAGGGCGTGGTCTAGTGTTACCATGGGAATAGGAGGAGATTCTCCGTCCTCGTGTACAGATGGTGACCTGGCCACTACTCTGGGCGCCACACTGGGAGTAGACAGAAATAAATAACAAATTAACGATCAGTTAAAGGTGCATGCACACAGCAAATGCATTGTGTATTTGTGTAAGTGATTAAAACTAGGTGTAGTCAGACAAACCCTCATAAAAAAATATTTTGGGACTCTCTGGAAAATGTCGTATTTATACGGCGTTATTAAATGTTGAGGCTCAGAGTTCATCAGGTCTGTTTGCTCAGATTTGCTTGTGGGTGTTTTGATAGCTGGATTTAGAAGGACACCTAGTGGTACAAATTAGTATAGCACCTTGGAACTTGAGATGGACACAACAAAGCCAACTCAACAGGTACATTATTGATTATTTAGGACCATATCTATATGCTTAATTATTATTTATAAAAAGTTCAAATCGTGTTTCAACACATATAATACTCTAAAATGTACATGTAATGTATTTACCTTGTAATATTATCACAACAGCGATCTCTTACCTGCCAAGTCGGTACCCTCGGCCACTGAAGGGGTGAAAGGCCTTTTTCCTGGGAACGTAGTTTTCTTCTGTCAGATCCTCCACACTGATCTCCAGCTCCTCCTCCTCCGCTCTACTCTCCCACTCTTTCGGAAGCTCCCTGGGGCAGATAAAAGACCGAGCATCAGAGTCTAGTCGGATCACTCAACATGACAAATGAGCACTAATGAGCATTATGCTTTATCTATCTTATGTCGCCGGGTTGTGGTCTTTGGGAGGGACCTCTTTACTGCTAAATCCTCTTTGCAGACTGATGGGGTTTGACTGTAACATTGAACCACATACAGACATGTTACTTTTGAGTTACATACACAGTACACAGGGTATACATTGTACATCTGTGAAGCTTAAAGGGTTTGTTTGCATCCGTGTAGCATTTGGTGACATCTAGTGGTGAGGTTGAAGATTGCAACCAACTGAAACTTCTCCCGTGTGCCAAGCGTGTAGGAGAACTACGGTGGCCGGGCGCAAAATGTGAAAACGTGACTGGCCCTGTCTTGAGCCAGATTTTGGTTTGTCCTTTCTGGGCTACTGAACGTGTAACGTGGCGGAGGAGAACCAGCTTAGTATTTAGATAGAAACGGCTGATTTTAGGGCCACGAAAATACATTGATTCTTCATTTCAGGTGATTATTAAGAAAAAGATGTTTCTTAATATTATATTCCACTTCTGCCAATAGATTCCGTCTTAATGTTACACAGTGCGCCTTTAAGTGAAATTTGTGGTCAATCTGAATGACTCAACATGCGTCATCTGACTTGGCTTTGCGGCCATTCTGCTACCTGGTGGAGATTTCAGGTTGGACAATAGTTGAGGGCAAAAATTACATTTTACGCAGACATTTAAACAATGTAATACTAGTTTAGCCTTAAGAAAAAGAGAAGTAAAAGCAATTACTTACTGACAATACTTATTTGGTATTTACGTAATGTAGTTCTCCGTAATTCTGTTTTAAACGGTGGTAAACTATAATAAAGGGTTGTTATTTTTTTTTTTAAATAAGTCAAGAAATCTTATCAATAAGTCACTGACACAGGTAACACTGGTTTGTTATGGACACAAGTCACATTCTCTCAATACAACCCAGAGTATTTAGTGATAAAGTAGAATGCCACAATGACAAAATAGAGTAATAATAATGCTGCTTTGTTATTTGCTTTTGATCGGCAGGAGAATAATATGAGTTCCAATACCCGACCATTACATGGAGCACTGTCCTCCATCTTTGATTGCTTGAGAAATGCGAGAGGAACAAATTAGGTTGTTTCAGGCACAAATAGCAGGTCAGAAGGAGAGCTGTTCAAGCCCAGCACGTGTTGAAGAAGTTGTTAAGTCACCGATATCAATCAAAGACCCAATCAGAGCTCAAGATATCATGGTCCTTTTGTGCTTTAAGGTTGTAAAATCTCACTCAATACAACTGTAACACCTTTACAAATTCTGCCATGGTCATTTTCACTCACCCCCTTTTGATGGAGTCCAGGAAGTCTTGATTCTCTGGTACGGAGTAGCTGCGGAACTCCTGATCATTTACAGTGAAGCCATCCTTCCACAGCCTCACCACCATCTCCACCTGGAAGGAAGGCACAAAAGAACCCTGATCAGCTGTCGCTGTATGTGCTGGACTCCAGAGCTGAAGGAAGGCTCTGCAGCGCGGGAGGTCAGCACATGTCATGTAGATCAGAACACTGTCTTCTGAATTATTTTAATGTTAGCCTAAATGTAATTCCCTTCTGCTCGTTTTTTTTAATATAATATGAATATATTACTGTATTTCAGTGTGTAGGTGTTAACTTTTATTATAAGTATTCATTCATTTTTAGGCTACAAGTCTACAAATGTATTGATTTAGTTCATCACATCTAAACTGCAATCAATCTGATTGATGTGTGGACGTAAAGAGGTTTTCCTGCATCGACCTGCAGACATTTGGCCCTGAAGATTTCGTGGTGTGAGTTAGTTGCTGACCTTTGATGTCCCCGAGGCATCGTAACAGATCTTCTCCACCTCCTCGAGGAGGTCTTCTACCGAGAAACTACGCCTCATTGGAGCCTCCTCTTCATTTTCGTCACTGACGGCCAATAAAGAAATAGACAAGTTTGTAATTCACTCATTACAGACGTCTTACTTTATTGTACAGAAACATTGCATTATTGAGTTATTGCCCCTAAATTATAGTACAGCGTGCAGGTTTGTGCGCCAGAAAATGCACCTCAAGAAACAAAAGTGCTCTCCTTCACCAACCAAATTGATTTCTCATTATTGATGCTTCACACATGATACTGACCAATGAAATCAAGTAATTGGGTTGCATTGCTATTTTTTTTTCCTTTAGGAAAAACGTTGATAGGAGATATGTCAACTATTTTTTGGGTGACTAAAATGTATTGAATTTTGAGTTTTCAACAACACAAAACACACACAATGCAAGACTAAATAAATAGATAGATGGATAGATTGACCAATACTGAGATGAATAAAAACAAAATGACACTAGACTAAGGTACCGAGTCAAATGTTCCATTTGATTATAAGGAATTTTAAGGAAAAATAGTTCGCAATTAATTTGTTGTGACTCACCAATTCTCATCTTTCTCACCCCCCACAGTGTCAATATCTTTCATGACGTTGTGTGTTTTCCATCTAAGAAAATGAAAATGAGCAAAGCAAACGTCACGATAGGGCCTACCGCTGCTTTAATTAAAGGCATCTTTAATACAATTCAACATTCAATTAGCTCAACGGTTTATTGTGTAAACGTATTCACGCGTTATTTTTTAAAGAGCTCTATAACGTTATCCATAAACACGATATTGTAAATTATGGTGGGTGTCACGCAGAAAGCCATGGACGCGCACAGAGCCCACGACAGAGGACCTGTGCATCATAACATGATCATAAACACACAGTACATGCTCATCTGCATGCGCGTATTAAGGTTACGGTCACATACTGATTTACCAGTCCGCGTTTCCTCGGTTAATCCCCGGGCTACACATCTGCAGCGGCCGTAAGGTTCGTGGGGCGGCTCTTCTGCTGAGCAATGTGTGACGTGACAGTGCCGTAAGTCGACTCCTCTCCTGTCGTAGTGAAACCAAACTGGGCTGCTGAGCTCAGCACTTCCAGCTTGGAATTGAAACCGATTGAGACTGATGATGCAGTATTAGATGACAATGGAAACACCACTAATGTTACGATATCTATCCATCTATCCATCTATCCATCTATTTATCTATCCATCCATCTATCCATCCATCCATCTATCCATCTATTTATCTATCCATCCATCTATCCATCTATCCATCTATCCGTCCATCCGTCCATCCATCCATCTATCCATCTATCCATCCATCTATTTATCTATCCATCCATCTATCAATCTATCCATCTATTTATCTATCCATCCATCTATCCATCCATCCCTCTATCCATCTATCCATCTATCCATCCATCCATCCATCTATCTATCTATCCATCCATCTATCCATCTATCCATCTATCCATCCATATATCCATCTATCCATCTATCCATCTATCCATCCATCCATCTATCTATCCATCTATTTATCTATCCATCTATCTATCTATCCATCCATCCATCCATCCATCAATCTACCTACCTACCTGTCTCTCTGTCTTTCTATCTTTCTGTCCGTCCGTCCACCATCTATATATCTGTCTGTCTGTCTACCTACCTGTCTGTCTGTACCGTCCTGTCTCCAGCTGTGATGTCCCGGTTGACTCTCCTTCCCCCAAAGTTATCACTGCATTCACACACTCACATCATGAGGGACGTAATGTCAATAATTAGGTTTCATGATATTATCACGAGTACAGTAAATTCCCTAATTGCACTGCAGTAATTGTGCATTTCCTATCATCCTTGTATTATATAGTGCATCTGTGGCACAGAGAGATGACACCACATCTGGACAGTATAATAAATTCATCCTTTGTATTTTTCAAAGTCAACGCTCTGCTATTCCTATAGAGGACGATATTAATACACTCTGGGCTACAACATCTGCCCCTCCATTGGACACTGAACAGTGGACTGCTATAGTTTAATTACATTTATTATCCCTTAATCTCTTCATCTAAGTATATTATTCTTTCACATCCAATATAAATTTTAGTCTACACCCCACCACACATCCATTAACTAAGAATGTTCTCAGTTTGAAGGGTTCCAGTGAGGGACGTTGCAGACTATCTACATTGCCATGCCCCCTACTGACCACCAGGAGCAGATACTGCTGCCACAACTGTGGTGATATACTGTAATACAGCAATACAGTCAGAGTCAATTAATTAATAAATGTATTAATTAATAATTAACTGACTATGTGGCTAAGTCACTTTAGTATGCATAATTCACAATATAACTAAAAACAGAGTCAGGCCAGGGCCTCTTTACTCTCTGATGAAGCCGACATAAGTGATCGAAAGGCTCAATAAATCCTTTATTTGACGGTAATTTCACGGTATATTGATGTACATAAGCCATTTGAAGAGTTTTTTAAGGCTTCAATCTGGTATATAGTAGTGGGGTTACCCATTTTTCTGGATCACAGATTCAGTAGCTCCATGCACACAAACAAAAACAATAATGATTTGATTGTGCTTTTTAAATGGCATCGCTTGAACCCCAAAACACGAAACAGATGGCTAGCACAGTTGCATTTTCAGTCAAGCCAGAAATAGAAGAGGCTACACACACACACACACACACACACACACACACACACACACAAGTGCACACACATGTTTGGGGACCCCACTGTGGTCCCCAAAGTGGGGTCAAGGGATCCCACAGGGTTTCTGGAGACGATCACTGGAAGTTCTAAACTTTTACTTCATAGTGTGATCAAAAGGTTTCAGACATTCTGCAGTAGAGACGGAATGACAACAAAACATACTGGTTCTTTGTAGGTTCAACCAGTTTAATTCTGCTTGATGGATATTATATTTAATATTGTCATTATACAATAATGTGGGAACCAAATGGTGTGTGGAGAACAAGGCGAGGAGCGACACTGAAAACAAGAAGAGAGGACAATGATGGTCATTATTTCAATAACTCTGACAACATGCATTATGTTTATAGTAAAGAACTTTAAAAGTTTGATATTTAATCTTTAGTTATCTTGAAAAATATATTTGATGATGTTTTTATTATCATCTCCACAGTTCTGGAGCGAATGACCCCGCTCCAGGTTTTACATGTTTGCATAGTTTTGATCACAAACTTTCTGATGTTAACTTTCTACACGTTACAAAGGTGACTGATTCGTTGTACGTAATGTTCTCTTTGTGAAGAAGAACTTTTTCTTCACATAACTTGGAGTCTGCCCACTTCCATCTGGTTTGCTTCCGACCCGTCCCACTGCTGTTCATCTGAAGGGTACACTGTGTACTCAAGCTTACAAACGTCATATTTACTTTTTCCTCACTTTCTTTCTCTTTAAATATTCCTTCAGTGATTTATTGTGCTTAAATAGTAGCCTGCTTAGTTGATAGACTTTAATTAACTATATGGAATTCAGTATCACTAGTATTCACTGGACATGTTTCTCCTGTAAATAACATTTTGTTTCTGTTGATTATTATGGTCCTTGTTTATTTGTATAGTAAGTATATGATACTAGTTTGTGTGTGGCAGTAGTCCAGTCAGCGAAAATGAATGCACCTGACAAACAGACCTACATCCACTTCAGAGAGAGAGAGAGAGACAGGAAGAGAGAGAGAGAGAGAGAGAGAGCGAGAGATAAAGAAATGGCGCCTCGATGCTGCGCTCACTGAGGCAGTCTTTGGAGCCGGCTAAAGGAGATCCAGTGAGGGTTAGGCAAAAGGAGAAACGAACGTTACTGAACTAAACATGGTGAACACAAGGAAAAGCTCCCGGCCGGGGAGCGGTCCCTTCATCTCCTCGAGGACTAGGTCGTCGTCAAGAACCGAGCGAAACTCTGAGGAACATGTAAGCCGGGTTTCTTTTCTTTTGCACCGGCGAGCGCTAGCTAGCTCCGCTAGGTAGCCCGTGGCCTCAAAGGTGCTCCACACAATGTATTATTCACGGCAAAGCACGGGAAGTGTTGACACTTGACACCCACCCAGTCACGCAGATACACAATAAAGGACTTCAATGCAGCGATTCCTGCGCGTGTCACTCGCACTTAACGTTGTTGCACAAGCTTGTCAAATTACAAGCTAGCGATGTTAGCTCCTGGCTAGCTCTAAGTTGAGTTCCCTTTGTGTTTGGCAATTTTTAGCCCGACTGACTTGCTTGCACCATTGTCTCCATAAATATCTCTAAATAAAGACAACTGTGGTTTTGTCGCGAGGCTATCGGCACGTCTTCACGTGGCCGTCCCGGACGCATTGGCGTGGTTTATTTTTCTAAAATGTGAAGAGACAAAAGCTTCAAGTGAAGCTAGCGTGGCTAGCTCGGCAGCTAGCTTACAGTGGGGGAAGGGAGTCCCGGGTTCAAAACAGTTGACTGGCTCGAGTCCCGTATTAAGCAAGTCTGAACTTTGTGAACTTTCCTGTTGTGAATGCCCCCCAAAAGACCCGGATGCAGCGGGCTTTTACAAAAAAAAAGTGTTTTTTAAAAATGCACATTTAGTGCTATCTTTGTGCTTCTTCGAAATGTACACTAAATTAATAGCTTGTGTTTTCACTGTGGTCGCGTGACCTACAAGCACAGCATGACAGCCTTTGTCTCAAAATGTAAACATTGAGATTACGCAAGTCTCGTGTCGCGGCATTACTTACGGGTATTACAGCACTTGACACAGACGAACTCTGATCAGATAAATTATAGATGATCAATGGCACATTCTCGAGTTTTAATGGGCTGTTTGGCGAGAGTTTAGATTTTCGAGTCATTCCTGGCTGCACTGCTGACACGTGATAATGCGATCTGTGATTAACAGGCTTCAGAGTGGTGCACCTAACACGTTCACGATGCTATTTCCCAATAATATTAATTGTTTTTGCACACTTAATGCTCAACCATTTCCCTCAATTTTCTGTGTCCAGATTGACGATGTTTGGGAAATGTTTTTAAATGACTTCCAAGGTGCACCCATCAGGCCACAGCTGTTCGTACTTTATGCACTGCTGCGTCTATCCAGTCAGTCAGTCTGTCAGACAGACCGTCTCTGCAGGCATCGCAGACAGTTTCCTATGACAACAGTGAGATATGCTCTCATATCGGAGGGGAAGTTGAGCTGTGAAGGGCTTGAGGATCAAGGGCACATGTCTGGATGGCGCTCTGTTGTGATTCGGGGAATACATCGACAAGGAGTTTGGTGCGAGGCGCCTTGTCTCATCATTATACTCGTCTTTTATGTCGACGTGGAGTTGATTTGTTACTGGAGCAGTTTGTTCATGCTTGCCTGTTATTTGCTTAATATTCTGGCTTCACACGGTGATTGACGGGGGTGAATGTTTTATGCAAAATAATTGTCAAGGGCTGTCGCAGTATATGACGAGGCCTCCTCTGTTTTATTTTCTCTTGCATGCTTGTTCTGATTGTCATTTTTTGTGTGATCCTTGTTTGTTCAACAGAAGGAGGCCAGTAGTGATGTGAGCAGTCCCAGCAGCCCGCGGCTGGCTCCCCCTTCCAAGCGGACGCGGCGACAGACTGCCTCCGAGCCAAGCTCCAGCGATACCTCCCCGTCCCCACAGACTAAGGGCCAGAGGGTCAGCTGGGAAATTCCCACCTACCGCACCAGGTCAGCTGCTGGCCTTCGTTTCGCTCATCATGAGTATCTCTGAATGGGGTTGCATAATTTTTGTGCACCACTACGATAGGCTAGTGCATTGCTACACACAGTCTTTAGCAGAAATAAGTTCAGACAAAGTTTGAATAAGCAGCACTTTCTCTAGACCGCTATTTGTTGCCGCTGAGTCAGAGTTCATTCTTCTCATGTCATGAATTGCAATCGGACGAACTTAAACGTGAGCTCCCAACGAACCTTACTGTGATTAATCCAAATTTTTTGACTTTGTTTTGTTGTTCTATTTCTAGGTTGTCCTCTCGCATAATGCAAAATGGACACGGTAATGCACTTCTCTTTAAATTTCTCTCTTTTTATTTGAAAGCCATACATTGAACGTATAGTTTGAGAGGCATACAATTAAAGAAGTTGGTCTCTAATTCAAGTTTTGTCAATGCTGCAGCCCATATGAGTCACAGGAGTGAGCAGAGTGGAGGTGGAGATCACTCTCACATGAATGGCCACGTGGAGCTGAAGAGGAGCTGCCGGGGGAAGAAGAGCAAATTTGAACACCTCAATCAGAGCCTGCTGTTTGACCAGCTGGTCAACAGGTAAGCTACCAGTTGCTCTGCTGACACGGCCTTTCTTTGCAATATTGTTTCCAACACAAGAGAAACTGGAAGTGGAAGATTCATCTTGGAACATATTGAGTTGGACTCCTTATACTTAGATTTTATTTTTATGAAATTGTTGTCCAGGTCTGCTTCCTTCACAAAGCTTACCAACAGTATATACGGCACAATCTACTTTAAGTATTTGGACATTAATACGTCAGTTTTATACGGAGTATCCCTAACTTTTGAACAGTGCAGCAGTATAGTCAGGGCTACAACTCCTACACTCCTGTTCTCTTAATATGCATGTGAATACCCTCCAATTAGAGATGATGTTCAGCATTTCACCATCATAGTCATTCTTTACAATTAGAATAAGAAAGACTTTACTGTCTGTCCAAAACTG